GTCCCCGAGCCGCGAGCGACCGACCGAACTAACTAACCCCCCCCCGAGCATGACGTTATATGGTATGGAATAGCTCTTTGGTCAGTTTGGGTTAGCTGTGCTAGCTGTGCTCCCTCCCAGCTTGTTATGCACCTGGCCGAGCAGGAGAAGCTCAAAAAGTCCTTGAGTAGTCTGAGCACTACTTGGCAACAGCTGAAAACATCAGTGTGTTATCAACATTCTTCTGGTACTAAATCCAAAACACAGCACTATGCTAGCTACTGTGAAGAAAATTAACTCTATCCCAGCTGAAACCAGGACAAATACACACTCTTCAGCTGCTCTTCTTTGTGAGCTCTCAGTCAATCTTCCTCCAGCACCAACTCAAGGACTGGTCTTTTGGCTTTTGAACTTTTGCCCCATCACTTCACAGGGATGGCTGAGTGGCCAGGAAATGATAGCTATGTCAGTTCACTGCTAAAACAGGACATGGATGGATTTGAGTCTGTGGCTAGTTGTAGAATTTAAAAGAACAGATCACACTGGTGACCTCCATAGTACAGCACCTTGAAATTCAGTTGGTTTCAAGGGAGCATCTAATACACCTGAATTTTTATTATTCCACACAACACCAAAATATATTTCAAATTTCTTGTATCTGTGAATCATGCCATCATGGACAGACAGACAACTGCTTTCTACACTACTGCCCTTAGCAGGACCTGGTCATTCAGGTTTTGCACAGTGTCTGTTGAAACAAAGCTTCACTAATGCCATGTGCACATGAAACACTCCAAGAGCAATGAATCCCTGCTGCAACCCTAGGGGTTTGCACTACACTTGATTTCAGCCATCACCATATTCAGACCTGGGATATGTGATTTCTCATTGATAGGCAGCACCTGACAATCTCTCTCCCCATCCCAAGTTCCACAACACATCTCACACTCTCCTCTTCATGAAAATCAGTGGTCTGCCTGGAGATCGATCTTTGGCAGTCCAGAATACATCTCCCCACCAGCACAGGAAAGGATTAGCAGAGATTAACACCATAGCCAGAGAAACGATTACCTGTAACAGAGATTTAAATTTGCCCTTTGTACAGCAAAGGGCTATTTTAACTCATGGGGAGCTGTTAAATATTAACCCTGACAGTTCAAGGGGAGATGGCCATACTGCTTCTTACAACATACGCTGCTTTTGCACAGCTCTTATCAAAAATTAAGCTCAGATATAAAAAGCTTTTGTTGTTAATATCACAAATCTCAAAACCTACTGTTACTGATTACACAGAGAATGGAAGATGTTTGCTCTAAGTTACAGGAAAGCCAGCCAACAGGTTTCACACTTACCTTGTACCACTCCACGCATCACAGCAAAGAGCTGCAAGGATTCCCTGTACAAGACTCAGCAGTAGCTGCATTTCTTTATTGTCCATACTTCCTGACAAGTTACTCTCTCTGGATTTAAGTGCAAGACGTTGGTTATCAGAAGACCTAGGAGAGAAAAATGAAACAATAACACAGGTTTAAAAAGCCCTTGAAGAAACACAAGGGAGGCTGTTAATCCAGGCTGCAACCCTTTCTCCATCTACAGCAAACCATTTTGCTAATTGCTCAAACTGAGCCTAGGATCAAACGAGGGTCTGTTGAACAGTTACAGGCACTGAGAAAGGGATCAGCCAAAGTTATTGCTATATTTCTGGGCAGCCCTCATTATCTCCAGGCAATTCTAGAGAGGTGGGCTATAGGTCTGGGTACGCAGCAGGCACGGAGCAACTCTGTGCCCACAAGATCTCCAGATCTCCAGCAGGACATTTTTAAAAAGGTCTGGGTACGCAGCAGGCACGGAGCAACTCTATGCCCGCAAGATCTCCAGCAGGACATTTTTAAAGGAACAAGTATCAGTCCTGAAGCACTGATACGCAGCTTACATAGCAATGGCTTCATTTTAGCCTTCCTCTTTCAAGCCCTATGCTCCTTCAGGCATACTGCTTGGAAGAAGCTGCTTGTGTGCAACTACAAGGCCTTTTTTGTTAATAGGGTCCCAAAGGGAAATTCCAGAGGCAGCATACATTTTCCTTCAACCTCCTCCATGTAACATTACTGCAAAACCAAGAGCCACATGGGATCGCAAGATTCCTACAAGCAGAAAAAGCCAGCTTTCTTTGCTTTTAAGGAACTGTGCTGGCAATTGCGAGAACACGTCTGTAGTACTCTATGTTCAAGAAAGACTGTGCTTGTGGGAATATCCAAATCTCTGGCAAGCACATTAGCCAAAAGCAGGCTTGCTATGCAAAATGCACAGCTTTTCACCTTCGTGATGTAAGAAAAGAAAACCTAAAAAAACCCTATGTGAGTACTGCCTTTCACTTCCTTGGAGTATTATTTCACCATCCTCCACCCCCACTGCTGAAATCAGCCTGTCAAAGCTCAGGCAGCCAGGCTGGTTAGCTCAAACATGAGGTCAGATTGGGAAATGGAGATGTATTTTAACTCCTCAGAGATAGCCTGGTGAAAGCTGAGGCCAAGAGCAGAGCTGCTCCCCCATAAAGCTCTGTAAGTACGATTCCTGGGATACACAGGGCTCCCAGCCCACAGACAGGGAGATAATAAGCAAAGACTGCACCTAACACAGGGGTTGGCAGTCTCTCAAGGGCCAGACACCAGCCTCCCTTTCCAAGGTTTTGCATGTTTCTCTGGCAGTCCTACTGGCAATCCCAGGAGATGCTGCTTCTCTCACGGTGCAGAAGCTCTGAGTCCAGCACTGCTGTTCCATAGTCTGTGTGCCCAGCTACCAAAACCAATGCCCACACCAGAAGTTCTTCTATTCTTTAGTGCTGTGAAAACAAGGTTTTTTTTTTTTTTTTTTTGCAAGCAAACTCCACCTGGGACCATCAAGTGAAGATGGTTATCCATTAGCTCTTTTCCATCTCTAACAATCTATTTAATTCCACATCCACTTAACTACATCCTTAGTGACATCCTGGACAGATAAGAGGTAGATCTACCTTTCTGGATTTTTTTTTCATAAACAAACTTTATCTCCATTACATCTTAAGCTGTGTGTGTTGTGGGTGTCAGGTAGAGTCTGAACTATGCCAGCAATTTATCTGTATGCATGTTCTCCAGAGGGCTGTGTATCAAATATTGCTTACTCGCCTGTGCCCTGAGTGCTTTCCATTTTCCCATGGCTCTGGGCTAGGGAAGAGGGCATCACAAGATGTGCTTTAAGGACAGCTGTTGAAGCTTGATCAAGTCGTACACTGTAAGACAAACTTGTCTTTCAGTGATGTCCATAATATACCAAAACCAGTGCTTGACTGGAAGCCTATGGAATAAGGACCTGCTAGTGAGGCTGGGGATGTCCGGACCTGTTCGCAGTATTACTTGGTCATATAGGAACTGTGTGTTAGGACAAGAATGACATTGCCTGCAGCATGTGACTGCTCATTGGTCATGCCTGTGGGTTAGCAAAAGCTAAGCTAGCAAAGGCTTGGCTCAGAATTAGTAGGTTCTTGTTTTCCCCTCCCAGTTCAGTAGTCATATTCAGAAGCCCATGCTTTCAGGCTGGGAATCCAGGGTGGAAAGAAATTACAAGAGCAAACTGTGCACAGCTATTTGTCTTGCTTTCACCAAACAAAAGTGATAGCCTGACAACTCCCATGCTTGCCTTAATTCCACACTCAATGGCCATTTTCCATCAAGTCCCCTCCCTTCTGCACCAAACCTTCTCTCAAAGACACTGAACAAACACCCAGAGACAACAGCATTTATCAGGACAAAGCCCCCACCTCTTTGCTGCTGCACTTGCAAGAATATCCAGAGTTTTGTCACAGAGCAAAGCCTCAGAGAACTGTGCCAAGAGGTGGGGAACAGCTTAGTGAGCCAACTGGTCTGTGTTTCCCATGGGCTGAAATGTCCCCCAGGAGGGCAAGAGACAGTAGCTTT